CGTACGGTAAAACTTGACTAATAACTGAATAAAGAGAATCGACTAAGAGGTCACCTTAAAACCAAAAAAAAAAAAAACCAATATATATAGTAAGTATTAAATATTATGTTTGCAATTGCAATATCAATAGCAAGGTCATTATCTGGTATAGTAATAAAAAAGAAGACATTTGTTTCTTTATTAATGTAATCAAATATCTATTCAAAACTTTCTAAAGTTTTATCAGTCATTAATATTTGCCCAACTTACTGAGATCTATTATGATTATTAATAATAACAAAAAGCCAAGTGCTATTTTAAATTGATTAATAGAGTAAGTATTATCATATTGTATAACATTACTATATTGTAAGTAAAGTTCATATTGTTCTAGTATTATCCAAAATATTGATATTAAAGTATTTGTTGTCAGGTCTATATACTTATTAATAGTTTATCTAATATTTTTAGCTTTATATTCAATAAGATAATTAACTAGTATTATAACTAGTATTATAAATTGTTAGTTAAATAACTAACTAGTTATCAACTTTCCAACTAATTAGTTTAAAAAAATTTTAAAGAATTAATCAATTAATAATTTAACTAGTACAATTCTATAATATTTTTTTAATAAAGCTACTGTGTTGATTTTTTTAATTTAATTAGCTAATTATATAATAATACTATATAATATAAAATATCAATTTGTTGCATCTATAGTTGACAACTAAACAACTTGAAATGCTAGTTGTAGCTTCATGATCAACCTTTTGTTCAGTTTTAACCTTTTGAATAGCATTTGACAGGTTTTGGGATAAAAAAAAATATTTTTATATTTCACTTCAAGTAATTGCTATTGAGTATATATATTAAGATTTCTTTTAGTTGTCCAAAACTCTATATCAGCCAACATTGGCTCAGTTAATATTTAATGAGTAAAACTAAATTTACTAGTAAGGGGATCTAAAAGATGGTCTCCATGTTCTAAACTTAGGGTGGTGATACTAATAATACTAGTTATTTTTAGACATATAGTATTTATAAACTATAGACATTCACTATGTTTAAAATAAGTATTATACTAGTTTTTAATAATCATTATTTTTTTTCTTGATAATTACTCTGATATTTACATTTATAATGATAATATCTTCTTACTCCATTATTATATTCTGTACCATAAATAACTTTAAAAAAATTTTTAGAATTATAATAAACATCAATATATCTATTAATTTCTGTTTATGATTCAAATCACATATCAGATACTAGTATTGAAATTAATAAAAGAGTTCAGATATATTAATAACACTATTAGATAATTGTTCATTATTAATAAGCAGCTCTAGAAAATTCAAGTTTAAATTTTTATTAATAGAACTATTATAATAAAGAAGTAGGTAAATAACTAATGAATTAAATACTAAATCTATTCAAGTATATGAAAATTAAAACTATAGTAGCTTATTAATAAGCTACTATAGTTTTAACTTTTATATACTTGAATAGGCCCACTACAATATTTTACTAAATAAATTACTAATAATAACCTTGTTTCATATATATCATATATATCTTTGTCTTGTATTATTAATACTTAGATAAAATAGCTAAAGCTAATAGAACTAAAGTAAGTAAATCAATATTATATAATTGCTATAATATTTAATTGAAGCTAACTAATAACTACTTTGCTTTATATATTTTGTAGATAGAATAAATAGGATAGCTGGTTTGAATAGGATAGCTAGTTTGAATATGATATCTAGTTTAAATGTGATAGCTAGTTTGAATATGATGGCTGGTTTAAATATGATAGCTGGTTTGAATATGATAGCTAGATAGCTAGAACAAATAGAACAACTAGAACCAACAGAACTGTGGTAAATAATTCAATAATATATAGCTGTTGTAATATTCAATTAAAAGAGATAGTTAATAATCCACCTTGTTTTATAGCTAAAACACCTGAAATACCAAAATATCTAGAATACCCAAAATACCTGGAACTGTAAACAACAGAATTGTCATAAGTAACCCAATAATATATAGCTATTGTAATATTCAATTTAAAGAGATAGCTAATAACTAGTGATTCTGCCCAAACCTATTAGTTTGAAATTAGATAAAATCTCAAATTGTATTTACTATATTATATAAAATGCTTTTAATTTGCTATAATGTCAAACACTTTGACATGTAGCTAATATTATAGCCAATAGTCCCAAATTTTTACATATAAAAATTTGGTTTAGGACTTATTTCAAATATAAATAAGATTAAATACATAGATACATACATAATATATAGATATATAAATAATAATTTAATAATTTGCATACTGAGAAGTTGTGCGTTAGATCAGTTCCAATTCTTGTTAGACTGATTTAGTAGAATTAGTTAGTTTGGTTAGTCATTTAGTTTAAAATAATCTTATTATTATGTTTTTTTAAAAAAATGAATGCATGAAAATGAAAATCATTAAAATGGTTTTCAGGCTTTCGCTTTCATGTACTCAAATTTAATACTTGAGATTTATTTAGCTAACATTTGCTTTGCTTTTTATTAATTTAAAGTTTTAAATGTAGTATAAATATGTATATATATATGTTTTTACATTTTAATTATATTAAAGAAATATTTAAAAATCATTAGTGGTTAAATTTTTACAATTATATATCAAATATTTAATATAAAAAAATTGTTATACAAAGCTAATTTAATAAAGATAATTAAAATTATCACTTTGAAGCAAATAATCTTTAAAAAATAATAACTTATACAATACTTAATTTGGTTAGTAATGAATCCTAATGATCTTTCTTGAATATTTTGTTCGATATTGTTTTTTTATTCATATCATTCTTGAAGTTATTCTCAAATAATATAAAGTAATATACAATATAAAATTCTAATTCTATAAAACAACAAAATAAGAGATATCAATTATGAATAACAAAAAAAACTATAATGTTTATATATGAAAAACAGTATCAAATATAAAAAATTTTTATATATTATTCATCTAAATTACTTCTACTATATATGTCCTGAACTAAAGATCTACTTTCAAATTCTATATTTATATCTTCTTCAGTTAAAGAAGTTTCCTCTGGATTATTAATCACTCCAAACATTTAATCTGACAAATCTACTACATTTTGAAGAGCCATCATGATATTATTTTCTGTGGGATTCACAATTTCAGTTTTATTTTCACTTCCATTTGAATAAAGATAATCAATTCCTGAAAAAGCTGTTTTGTTTAATACACTATTATGTAACTCTATATCCACAAAACTATTTTTATAAAATTTTAATTCTTTTTAAATATTTGATATAAAAAAGGAGTAAATTTGTGCCATACTTTCTAACTATAATACTTAAAGTCATGTGCGATATCCTTCACTAAGCCATTTCAGGATAGAAAAATTTTATTCACAATTGGCTTGTGAAGGTACAATAGAAAACATGGTTTGAGCTAGTTCTTGTAAATGCTTATACTCATCTTCAACAACACCCACCATAAAGAAGGAGTTAACTTAGAGGAATATTTAAGATCCCAAGGTACAGCTTTTGCTTTGTATTTGATTAACTGATTTACTAATTCGCAGCATTATACCAGTACGATCACGTTTCTTGTGTAACATGAAATGTGGTAGGGATGGTTTCCTTCAACTTTTTT